AATGGTGACCTTGAACAAACTCTCCTTAAAAGGGAAAAGTTTGCCTAACAATAATATCCTCATCTGCAGAATTGCCATATAAACTCTCCAGGGAATTGCTGTACAAGTAAGCAAATCCATTGTACAAGTGAGCAAATAGTAAAAAATACATTTCAAGCTCTAGGCTTGCTGGCCCTAAGCTTCTCTATCTGATGACTCAGGCCCAGGGCTTGTAGGACCTTTTAGAGGTTGCTGCATAAGGCAGCTGGGTGGTGGGCATGCCTGGTTTATGGAGTAGGTGAATGGAGAGTGGTACCTGGGGGAGAGGTATGTGATGGAATTCAGGGGGCATCAGTACTTCTGGTACCTGCACGCCCTAGGGGCAGGGAGGCTTTGATCCTGGAGACTGACTAGCCTTGAATGGAGTCTATCCAGGGTTCTGAGAACCTTTCCGCCCAACCCCCTTCCTGGTCTGGCCATTGCCACCTCCTGCCAATACGTGTAAATGTTGCTTGATTTTTTTTCAGCCTAAATGGTGCCATTAAAGTAAATATTTGTGGGCTGTAAAGCTCAAAAGAGAACATGCCTGGTGTCCAGAGGGAACTGCTGGCAGCTCCTGGCTACCTACCTGTAGAGTCCCCTGAGTGGCCACCTGGGGACTCCTGCCTCTAGTCCCAAGCTAAATTGGAGGAGTTTTGAGTTCTGGGAGCACAGGTTGCTCAGCTGGAGGGCCCCACAGAGATGTACCACTATCCCCTGCCTTTTACTGATGATGAAACAGGGATACTATTGACTCAGCAAATATTTACTCTTTGTGCCTGGCAGGTGATACAAAGATGGAGAAAAAAAAAAAAAAAAAAGGCCCCTACTTTGGAGGAATGGCTACAAGATAGGGACAAATAACTCAATAATTGGAGATCCTCTAACTGGGTCTTGAGGGTTGAGTAGGAGTTTGTGGGGATCAGGGTGGTACAAATGGATAAGAGGATATTTCAGAAATGTGCAGAAGCCATCATGAAAGGGTGTAGTGTGTGGTGTTTGGTGTGGGTGATGAGGTGGGACAGGAAGGGTAGGTAGAGATAGCTAGCACTAAGAAGGTGTGAATCCATTCACCTGTCAGTGAGTGCAGATGGATGAGCCCTGTGTGGGTAAGGAAACCTAGGGTGCAGGAGGCAGCAGGAAGTAAAGTTCAGTAAGCAGGCTGGGGTTGGCTGGGGTCTGAGTATGCCATTCTGAAGGCAGTGGGGCATCTTGGGAGTTTTGAGCAGGGGAACAGATTGGACTTGATGTAGGGGTGGGGAGCAGTGGCCAGGCAAGAGGATCATAGGGTGTTGAATGGGGAGCAAGGAGAAGGGCAGGGATAAGTGAGGCCTTATAACTGGTGAAGGGTATGCCTTTTCCAGGGAGGAAGACACCCCACTTGTACTCACTGTGTGAGTGGCCCAGCAGGACCAGGCCTCTGGGTGATCTCAAACTAGCTTCCCTCCCTCCTACCTCTTCCCCCATTGTCAATGCCAATGGTTGCAGGAAGAGCTACTTAGTAAATGTTTCTGATCAAACAGAAGCTAGAATCATCCTCTGATTCAGTTCTAGGTTCTAGATTCTAGAAGCTTTGGGGCTGAGGAACAGGTGTTTTCTCTAGGGTGGACAGCTTATTTGGAGGCCTGTTCTAGCTGTTTCCTCCTGGTGTGCTCCCCAGGGAATGGCAACTTTTTGTCACAGCCCAAAGCTTTGTGAGATGCCTGCTGTGACTGAGACTGGGGTCTCCAGGGATACAATTTGGGAGGTGAAGGAAGCTGGAAGGCAGGGCATGGGTTTGCATGCCTGCCAGGTGGCATTGCAGCACCCATGTGGTACCCAGAGACTGTGGCCAACCTGGGGCAGTGCCGTGTCTGGCTCTGCTCTTCCCACTGTCTGCTGATCAGTCTTTTGTCATTCATTTATTAACTCATTTGTGTGGTCACTCTTGCCCTCAGTCATTTCATTCATCTTGTTCACATGAGTTCACCTTTGCTTGCGTTGATGGTTCATTCATTCCTTTACTCAACTCAGTAAGTTTGGGCAGGGCTGGATTCCATTCCTTGCTATCTGCTTAGCTCTGCCTTGATCCCACAGGGGTGAAGATTTGCCCTTGAGAAGTATGGATTGACTGAGAGAGGAGGCCCATACATTTGAAGGACATGCCAGGCTACATCCTCTGTGCAACTGACTTTCCAGAATCCTCCATGCTTTACTCAGCAGGGCTGTCTACGTGGCAGGCTAAGTTATGCCAGGAGAAGGTAGCCCGGTGAAGCAAGAATTGCTTGCCTTCCAGGGTGGGTGACCTGTGGGGCAGGCCAGAACAGGGGCCTCTCCTCCCCAAACCCAAACTTGGGAGACAGTCACTATTTTACAGTTTTACTATAAAATTGTTTATTTTTACAATTACTATTTTATAGTTGAGACTAATTTTTTAAATTTTGAATTGCATGTGGAGAGACATTGTAACATTTTCAATGCTTTAAGCCTCTAAAATTCTTTCTAAAAAGAAAAATAAGATACAAAGAATAATGCAGGGACTCAGTAAATACCACACAATATGTCAGTGATCTCTTATCTTTATTAAGGAAATCAATGTTGGAGTCTCTCATCCTGAGAAGGGGTCTCAATCACTATAGTTCTTTTTTTTTTTTTAATTTATTTATTTATGCATACAAGAGCTGGGGCACAGGCCAGAGACGTGGCAGGGGCGTGGGGGGTGAGAGGATTCACCAGACAGAGTGGGGAACAGAAAAGGCAGACTGACTGAAACACACTGCTGAGGGGAGCAGTGGGTAAGACAGGAGAGGTCTGCTTCGTCATGTGGGTTGCTCCCTGGCTAGCCGGGGATCGAACTCGTGCTGCAGAGGCTGTGGTTTGCTCCATAATGCGGCGCCCAATCCCTTGCGCCACCAGGGAGGCCCTCAATCACTATAGTTCTGCCTCCAGGCATATTTGGCCACATCTGGAGACATTTTTGGTTGTCACAACAGGGGAGAGTGATTGGTATTGGGTGGATGGGAATGGAGGCCCAGGGAGCGTCTGACACCCTACACTGCCAGGATGCCTTTGCCCCAAGGATCACTGTGTTGGGGGAGAAACCCCCTCGAGATGCAACAAGTGTCTTGAAATTAGTATGTGATAAGTCAATCTTTTAAAAAGCACACACTGAAAGAATATTTAGTACTTTATAGTTCTGCTGTGGTTTTTTTTTTTTTAATATAATTCTTTTTTTTTTTTTTTTAAGATTTATTCATTTATTTATTTATACAAGCACTGGGCACAGTCAGAAGCACGGGAGGGTGAGAGAATTCACCAGAGCCAGAGCGGGGAACAGAACAGGCAGACTGACAAAGTACACTGCTGAGGGGAGCAGCGGGCGGCAGGAGAGGTCTGCGCGCCATGTGGGACCCTCCTCCAGTGGCCGGGGAGCAGCCAGGGATCGAACCGGCGCCACAGAGGCCGCGGGCATCCCCGCAACCCAGCGCTCAACCGCTGCGCCACCGGGGAGGCCCTGTGTTTTTTTTTTTAAATAAAGATTTATTTATTTATGCATACAAGAACTGGGGTACAGACCAAAGGTGTGGGGTGTGAGAGGATTCACCAGAGACAGAGTGGGGTACAGAACAGCAGATGTACTGAAATACACTGCTGAGGGGAGCAGCGGGCCAGGCAGCAGAGGTCTGCTGCGCCATTTGTGTAGCTCCCTGGCTGGGGATCGAATTTGTGCTGCAGTGGCTGCGGACAGCTTCATAGGTTGCATCTTAACTCCTTGCGCCACTAGGGAGGCCCTATAGTTCTGATGGTTTTAAAAAACATTTATTTTTTTTTTTTTTTTTTTAATAGAGGCATGTTTTATTTATTTATTTGTTTGTTTTGTTTATACAAGCACTGGGTACAGTCAGAAGCGCGGGAGGGTGAGAGAATTCACCAGAGCCAGAGCGGGGAGCAGAGCAGGCAGAAGGACTGAAGCACACTGCTGAGGGGAGCAGCGGGCGGCAGGAGAGGTCTGCGCGCCATGCGGGACCCTCCTCCGGTGGCCGGGGAGCAGCCGGGGATCGAACCGGCGCCACAGAGGCCGTGGGCAGCTTCACAACCCAACGCTCAACCATTGCGCCACCGGGGAGGCCCTAAAAAACATTTATATGTGCTCCAAGAGTTCTGTAGCTTTGTTCATTTGACATGAACAAAGGGAAGCCTCTGTCTGCCCACCCATGCGTCCAGTCCAGACAGTGTCACCGCGAGGGCGCTGATGCTTTTGAGAACATTACATATTGGCCCACATAGATCTAGTTTATTTAATGTCTATAGTTTAGCCATTTTGGGGATAGGCTACATTTTATCTATTCTCTTGATGGACACCTAAAAAAGTTTCTAATCTTCATTGTAAATGCGAGGACAGGAATATCTCTGCACAGGAATATCTCTGCTCTTTGCACGTGTGTTTCTCTGGGGTAGCTGCCTGGGAATGAACTTGCTGGCATGTGGGAGCACAGCTTTCCAGCTCACACTCTCCCCACCCTCAAAACTGTCCATTGCTGAGCTTGGTGAGAAGAGACACATCACTTGCATTAGCATTTACCCGATTAGTATTGAGGTTGACTATCTATCTCCCTTCTTGGCTGCCAGCTCCTTAGGCCTCTGAATACCTCTGTAGGGCCCGAATCACAGCACCCTGGTGATGCACATTGCAGTTGGGGTCACTTTCCCTTCAGGGTGCTGGCCACTCATTCTTGTCCAGGGTCCATGCACACTGCTTCTTTGCTGCTAGCCTGACTACTCTCCCCACACGACACAGCTGAGTGGGTTTTTGCGTTTCATCTTTGGTTTTATGAGATTACACCGTAGTAACCTTTGGAGGTGGATTTGCTTGAGCCTCCCAGTGTGTCCTGAGAGGGTAACTTTGTTTCCAGAGTTCTGGGGGCTTGTCATTCCTGGGCTCCCCATGTCCAGGCTGGGCGGGTATTGTGCTGGTCTGCTGATGTCCTGCTTTGTCTCTGCAGGCAGATCTCTGCGTTATGACCTGGCTGTTGGGCTACGTGGACCCCTTGGATCCCTGCTTTGTGGCTGCTGTCATTGCCATCACTTTTAATCCGTTCTTCTGGAATGTGGTAAGTGCCCTCACACTGATGCTGTGAATGCATGGATGGACAGATGGCTTCCCTCCCCAGTCCATCGCTGACCAGCATGGAATCATTCTGTCTACTTCCTCAGTGAGATTGGCACCCAGTTTTAGGGGACACTGACCAGGGAAGCCCTTCACCTTGGGGATCTCACATCTTGGTGTCAGCAGATGATCCTGGGCTGCTGCTGGGCTGGGCTGAGGCTGCCTCTGAGAGCCCGGCGAGCTCACGCACTGTCGTCAGGAGGTTGATTGTCTTGGCTTAGGAACTTTTGTCCCCCTCTGTTATGCCAATAATAAAGTTGTTTTCTTGTGAATCCCTACCCCCGCTATTTGCTCCATAAACATGATGATTTTCCCTAAATGGGGTTTCTTGCAAAAAGGTTTGCTCACTACAGAACTGTTATGTGCTGGGTAGCAGGAACAAGCCTGCAAGAAGTGAAAACAGGAGACAGGGCACCAGCTCGTCTTTGGGTGCAGGCGTCTATGGTGCCAGGAGACCCTGGGAGGACAGATGGAGTGCTGGACTGGGGCGCTGGGCCCTCTGGGGATGTGGAGGGGGAAGGGCAGACCCTTTTGCTGCAGCCTTTCTCTGAGATACCCTCTCCTGCCGGGATTGTGGGAGAAGCTCTTTGGATTTCTGGTGATGTCTCTGGAGGATGGAGAGGGCAGCGTAGCACTCCTAAGGTTGCTTCCCAGGGCACCTGTGTAGTGGGCCAGCCAGCTGGTGCTCCCTGGGGCTCAGCCGTGTTCAGGTTTGCTGATGCAGAGCCAGGAACGCTCTGTGATCACCATCAAAGGGACCCTGAAGAATAATCCAATTTCAGTGTTAGCAACACACTGTTCCAGACTGTTTCCATTTCAGGTGACCCCTTGGTCCCAGGGACAGAACAGAATGTGTTCGTCGTCTGGTTTTCTCCATTAGTGGTGGGTGGGAGTGGGGCAGGGGGAGGCTGCTTATGAAGAGGTGAATGTGTTGTCCGTCCATCCTGTCCTGAACACACCTTTGGGTAGTCAGCGGGAGGGGACTTAGGTGGTAGGAGCACTGAGGAACAGACTGAGAGTTAGGTTTGTCCAAGGCCATTCTTCATGCCTCTTGGGGACCCTCACCACGCTCCCTGGAGGCTTGGTCCCACTTTGCTTGGGGGATCCTGACCTGACACAGGCCTCCCCAGCTGGAGCTCATGGGACCTACAGTGCCCGACCCTCCCTTTCATGGTCTGCTGTCCCCTCACTTTCCTCTTTCCCTGCTGTGTGCCCTCTGCCTACTTTACCTGTTTGTTGTTTTTAAAAAATATTTATTTATTTATGCATACAAGAACTGGGGTGCAGGCCAGAGTTGCGGGGGGTGAGAGGATTCACCAGAGACAGAGTGGGGAGCAGAACAAGTGGATCTACTGAAATACACTGCTGAGGGGAGTAGTGGGTGAGAGAGGAGAGGTCTGCACCATGTGGGTCAGCTCCCTGGCCTGGGATCGAGCTGCAGTGGCTGCGGATAGCTTCATAGTGCTGAGACTTAACCCCTTGCACCACCAGGCAGGCCCCACTTCACATCTTTATACATGAGACAATGAGGGGTAATGAGGGGTAAAGAGATAGGCTGCAAAATGGTGCCCTAACAGACATCCCTGGCCTAATTAGGTTAAGAACCTTGAGATGGGATGATTATCTTGGATTTTCAGATGGGCCCTTAACTGCAGTCAGATGTGTCTTTATAAGAGGGAGGCAGCGGCAGGCATGAGGATGCCGCCCAGAACGCTAGTGATGTGGCGCTGGCCCAGGAAGGCCACGGCTGCAGGAAGAGGCAGCGGTGGATTCTGGAGGTGGAGTGACAGAGCTGTGACACTTGGATTTTGGTCCAGCGATAATGATTTCGGACTGTGGCTTCCAGAACTGTGAGAGAATACATTCCTGTTGCTGTAAACACCCAGCTCGGGGTACTTGCTGCAGCAGATGTGGGAAGCTGCACAGGGTGCTGAGGAGGCTCTTGGTCCTGGTGAAGACTGGGCGGGCTCTGGAGCCAGCTCTCCCTGCGGCAGCCCTCACTCTTGAGTCCCAGGGCCTGGCATTGACCACCTGGCGGCTGAGGGCATGGAGCTCTCCCAGAGAGGGTGGCTGGCCGAGCATGCAAAGGTCCTGGGACACTTGGCGCTCAAGCCCCGTGGAAAGCGCGTTTTTGCACGACTGTTTTGAAGACGCTTTGCCCCAGCATCATCCACAACAGCCTCGAGGTTAGGGTGACCGGGGAAGATTTGGGAAACAGGCAGCTTGCGTCTGTGTGTTGAGCATAAGGCTTTTTTTCTTCTGTCATACGTTTCTGATTTGTCTCATTTTTGAAAAAATTATCCACTGGAACAGTTTGTGGTCTTGAGGGGGAGAGAGAGAGTGCTCTTCAAAGGTTTTTCAGAATGAGAAAAGTTATGGAAACATGTTGTGGTTTCGTGACCTGAGAGAGCAGCACAACAGCCCTGGGAGGTAGGAGACTGGCCAGGGTGGGGCCTGCGCCCGAGCTCCCTGCCGACAGTGCCCACCACCAGCACTGAGAGGTCATACCGGGAAAGCACTTAATGAACCCTGATTCAATCTGCATACTAGCTGATACTTGGCAGAATTTGCTATGCTCGGGCACTGCTGAACGCATTTTGTGTACTATTTCAGTTCCTCTTCACAGAAAAAGCTGTTATTATCCCTTTGGAAAACACACTCCAAGAGGTTCCTTACTTCTGGGTTATTCATGAGGACCCCTGGCACCGGGGTTCCTCAGCCCTGCTCCCCATGGAGCTGACATCCTGGCAAGGTGGCAATTGGTGAAGAAACAAATACACCCTTGGTTAGGGAAAAGCAGGGAGAGACAGGGAGGGCTGCTCAGGGCAGGGGTGACCTTTGAGGGAAATTTCAGGTGTGAGGGAGCCCCACTGGGTGTTCCCCCTACTTCCTACCTCCCCATTATCTGGAAAAGAGGAAACAGTGAATGCAGAAGTTCTGGACAAAAGTTGTGGGTCAGATTCAGGCCGGTGGGTGCCTGGCCTTCTGACTGCTCTAGGGCCTGCTTCTACCTCCGCAGGCTGTCATTTCTGGAAGTTTCACCACATTGACTGGAGTGGTCAGCCCACTTATTAGGGCAGCATTTAGATATTTGGACACAGCCTCCCTACCAGCATCAAGGCCCCAAACCTCTCCTCTCCTGCTCACTCCCTGCAGCCTGTTCCCAAGGCCTCAAGGAGCTCTTTGTTGCTTAGTCCTAAGGACACTTTCCTCCCTTCCTGTATGTCTTTGGGAGGAGTTTAATGCTGTTGACCCTCTCTTCCTTGAAATCTCACCCTCCCTGTGCTTCCATGCTGCTTTTCTGGCTCACTCTCCTCTGTTCCTTATCAACTCCTTTTCTGCTGCCTGTCATTCAGTCACTTAAGAAATGCTCCTGGAGAACCCACTGTGTGCTACGGAATAAATGTGGGTAGTCTCTGTTGTTAGAGGTCACAAATAGATCTGCAATTAAAATTGTAAAAAGGTGGGGTATCTCAATCTCTGGTCTAAAATCTTCACAGAGCACCAGGAGCTTTGGTATAGGTACTGTGGCCTCACCTGGTTGTGTGTTGCCATTACTGGGACCTTGTTGTTTGAGTCCTGCCCAAGATCTCCCGGTGTGCTTCTCCAAGAAGGGGCGACCCTGTTTCCTGTAACCAGAGTAAAGATCCAGGGGCCAGCCTTGACCCTTTTCTGTCCCCCCAACCCCCACCAAAGGCTCTACCCTCACAGTCCACCTGCTCAGTGTGGGGCTTTCACTATCACCTGGGGCAACACAGCAGCCTCTGGCTAGGCTTCCCACCAGTCCTTGTCCTCCCTAACTGTCTATGTGCACTCCTCCCTTACACATCGTGAACACATGCCAGGGACTGGCCCCAACCCAGCGCCCTAGCACACTCAGCTGCTTAGAGGCACTCCATATCTGCTGGGGAAAGATGTGACCTCTTTCTCTGGTGCATGAAGCTCCTCTCTGCAGGGTGTGCTCTCCCCTGCACACTGTCACTTCCGGTCTCTGTCCTCCCCTGAGTGATGCATCTTACCCAGGGCTCCTCCACACAACCTGTTCCACTCCCTCCAGATGGTCATCCCCACTCCTCATGAGTCCTCCTTTTTGTCCCTCCTTCCAGCAGGGTGGCTGGACTTTGACGTGGATATTTGGGTGCTCATGCTGCCTGCAGAGTGTGTGACTGTATCTCTGGTTGGTCTCCACCCTCTAGGCTGTCAGTAGGACCCCTAAGTCCTCACAGTCTCAGATGTCTCTGGACATTGCCAGGGTCCCCTTGTTATAGGACAGGGAAAAGGGTCAGCCCAAACCCCGCAAACCTGCCTATTCTAAATGGGTTCTGCCATCCGCCGCATCAACACAAAACATAGGAGACTTTAATGAAAAGGAACTTTAATAAAACTAGGAAACAATACAGGAAAGGCAAAGAATCTAGTTTCTAAATGAAGCACCCAAAGTTACCCGTCCCCTCGTGGGTAAAAGTCCATCCAAATGGGATTGGCCCAGAACAAGGCCCCAAAGCCTGCTACAAGTCTAAAGCATCTTCCAGTGGGGACCCACAGAAAAGGGTCACAAACAACTGGACAAGCCCGGAAGGAAAAGAGCAAAATCAACATCAAGATAAAAGCTGCCATTGTCACCTCCCCACGGGTCTCACCCACATCTGTGTCACCTAGTCCACGACCACAAGACAAGCGCAGTTTCTTCACGTGTCTCTAGGCTCCATGTGCCTCCTCCAGGTCTCCTGGCTCCATCCTGCTTCCTTCCTCAGTCTCTTCTGCAGCTTCTCCTCTTCCTGCTCAGCTCCACTCTCCCTTGGGAGGGGCAGGGAACCTCCCACTTTCCTGGGGACCACCCTGTTACAATCCCCCCTTTTAATTTTTATTCCACCATATCTATGGTGGCACAGATCTCATGGTGTAATCTTAGGAGACAGTCTTTTTTTCAGGGTTTCAATGTGT